ATATATAGACTAAACATTGTGCAAATCTATTGCATACATTTCTATCCCAGAAAATATACTTAGATGCAAAACTTCCAGATAGCATTTTCAATGGAAAGGTGACATATCGACTTTATGAGCTCATTGATTACATTTTAACAACTTTAAAATTTGATGTACTAATCTGATGGATACAGTTGATTAATTTATGTAAGTTTCTGTAGCCCTTTTACATTTTTAATGAAGTATATTGGTAAAAATGTATTCCTTTCCTAGGTAAATACTATAAATAATAGTTCATTAGAGGAAATATACCCAAAAGAGGGCTGTGCATGAATAAATATTTAACACAACTCATTCACAGTACCTTCCATTACACTTTTGCTGCTATATAAGATCAAAATAGCAACCCAGTTTACAAGGAATTACTCTCAAAATTTTAATTTTCCAAGTATCAGTATAATTTGTGTTATGGCAACCAGTCACCATTACAAAAGCTAATTTCTACAATAACTCAACATTCATTTAGAAATCCCCTACTCAAACAAAGCCTCAAACAGGGCTTTGTTATCTTGTTATCTCGCAAGTTATCTCACTACAAAAACATGACACTTGTTTTCACCTCCACAGTTTACTAAGTTTCTACCATTAAAATTGAAGTAGAACATTTTTGTATAGTTTACCTACATTTTAAAGATAATGAGTTTTAGTGTTTCCTTTTAGATTAGGATATCCTAAAGCACAAAGACAATGAGAAAGTTCCATTATCTTTATCTTATATGTAAACACATCTAGTTGCTTATAATCTGTCAACAGAGCTTTCTTGCTGTGTGTTAAGGCTGCTAGACCAAACTGCCTAAGTAGTCCTACCTGCTGCTAAAGAAAGAAAGAGTTATTAATTCATATCCCGTTACTTGTATGAACCATGACTTGTGTGACCTTGCTCTACCCAAAGCCCATTCATCAGATTTGGGTGGGAGTCAGAATGAATGAAACAATTCTGCTCATTCTGGATTAAGCATTTGGGGGTAAGACTTGCAACTCATGCTGGTATGCATATTATAAGCAGCAACCACAAGCTGGCTTGTCTCATATGAACATATACTGTGGCTGCCCAACATCGATTACAGAATTTTTGCCGTACCAGGTCATGTCAGTTCAGCTTTCATGGTTACATGAGAAGGAGCTTTAACTTTGTGTAATGTGTGTACACATCTGTCTGCATCTGGGCACACGTATGATTTATCTTGGAGTGAATACATAGAAAAATGATTTGCCTTCTAGTCTGTCTTCTGCAGAGACTCAGCTTCGTCCTTGTGCTTTACTTCATCTCTGAACATTAAATTTTTGAGGACAATTATGCTCATTTACAAGCCAATAATGCACTTACATTTGTAGTATTTTTGCACTAAAATAATAATAATGCAAACCTAAAATTGAATATCTGTCCTAATGCTGAGTAGGGAAAGTGGCTCATGTTACCCAGACAATGAATCAACACAGTCTAAATTCAACAATGCTTCACATCATCTAAACAGACCTGACAGAAGAGGAAGAAACACTTCTTACTTAAAATTTTAGAAACAGAAGAGAGGTATAGTTAATATAGAATTGGCTCAACAAATCACAATAATCAGCTGCAGCGTTTTGTATCCTTACTATTCAATAAGGTCTTTAAAAATCTACTCCATCACCCACTCTCTGCCCCTAAATAGGACAAAAAATAATAATAATTTTTTAACACCTACAGTGCTAATACCAGTCTTAATAAGACAGGTCTTTTTGAATTATTATTAAGCCAGTTTGTGTTGATCATCAGCAACACACTTTTGCCCTGGCATTTTCTTTATTCAACGTTGATAAGTTCGTCAGCCTCAACAGCTAGAGTTCACCTTGTTTCTGAATTGCATCTTCTGGATCTGAACTATACAAATATGCTTTGCCAACATCGTCATCAGGATTTTCCTAGTTGCAAATCCACCATGTGCTGTAAAATGCTTCACAGGACGTTTCATTTCTTATTTGTCTTCCAAGCCAACATTAAAAGTAAAGTTCTGCTTGAGTTTTTGTTGTTCTTTTCTCATCTTTCCAGTGGCACACATAAATCCATGAGACAACCTGATCACTGCCCTTTGAGTCACATGGAAAACCTAACAAATACCCTGGCTCAGTCCTTTCTTCTTCCACCATCCCTAGGAAGTAGCCTGGAATGTGGGCTCTTCACATGGGTCTAGCTGCATTCTCAGTGCACCAATTTTATGCAGATACCACAGCTGGAGAAATTCCTCTGGCATGGCGTGGAAGCCAGAAAAGGGCAAGACATTATCATAGTAGTGGTGGCTGATGGGCTGCTCATGCATATTCACAGAGAAGGGCCAGAAGCCATAGATAGCCACCTCTTCACAGAGGCCCAGGGCTGCGCTCACTAGAAAGAGTCCTGTGGACAGGCGCTTGGCATGGATTCCCCTACTTTTCCAGAACTTTCCAATGCTACGCAGAAAGTTGGGGTTGGCAAAAAGCACTGTTTGATTGGCACCAACATCTGACAGTGTATAATAAACCCGGAGGGATGGCTCTGTTCCCGTCTTCATAGAAAAGGCAGGCATGTAAATATAACTGTGGTTGTAGACTTTCATGTTGTCCACGAATGTCTTTCTGGACCAGAGGAGGTTCTGAAATCTATTAAAAAGAAGAGGCTCAATTAAATCTCAAGAAAAGAGAATCATTAAAATCTACCCTATTGCTTTCTGATGGAGGAAATCATCTCAGGAAAGCACAAGAGAAGCACTTCATTTGTATTTAAATTCCTCTGTGAACTTACCAATTATTCTGGCTTTCTTACACCCCAGTGCCTTAAACTCAAGTTTAACATTTCTGAATGGAGTTCTTCTGAGAAAAAACACTCTGTACAATTTGTTCTTTCCCAAAATGTATTTGGCCTGGAATGTAAAATGGCTTAGTACTCCCGAGTTCATAAAAGTTATTGGTTGGGATCTTGATAAAAATTACATGTGTGGTCTGATATAAGCACAGGGCTGGTTTCCTGATGTGCAAATCAAAGCAATCACTTCTCTGATTCCTCTTCCCACCAAAATAGGTACTCAGGTTAATCAATGTTGTTGTAGCTATATTACATGGAAAAACAAAGACTTGCTACGATTATTACATAATACAGAGAGTTGCCCACATTGCTTGCTCCAAAGAAATTTACTTTTCAGTGTGGATTACATAAAGATAGGACCTCTGGTTCCAATGGATTCAACTAAAATTTATGGTGCACCCATGATGTGTCAAGACATTGGGGAAATAAAGCATTAAAGAGCCAATTTTTCCTTCTCAAAAAAATTCAAGTCCAATTGTGGAAAAGAAAATATAAATGAGTATAATATCCTAGTGTACATTGATATTTATATAAAGTACTGCAGAATAAAGGTAAAAAAATAATCCTGCCGTGGAAGAGAGACTGAGACCCTTGAAAGCTGCAGAGAGAGGATGGCATTTAATAACCTCCCTTTAGGGAATCAACAGGAAGAGCAGCAACTACCCTGGAAGGCACGGTTTGGTCAGAGGCAAGAGCACATTAGTGTACTGCACCAGAAATGAGGGGCCACTATCCCTGGAATATAGGAGATAGGGATGGCTGGGACCATGGTCAAAGGAAAAGCATTTTGCAAAAGCTTTTTATGTCCCTGTAATTTGTTCAGACACAATGTGACAGTGACTGCTCACGTCACTTACTACAGTTGTCAGTCTGTACCCAAAAGAAGGTATAGAAGATAATCTTGGAAGAGGGTGGGCAACCTGGAGACCAGATAAGAGGCTGCTGAGATAGCTCAAGTGAAAACAGAAAACAGAAAAAACAGGGCGAGCAAAGTCAGGAAAAGGGCAGTGCTAGACTAGGGACTTGGGAATCCAGCTTTCTTCCACAAAAGGAAAGCTACCCATCTCAGACGACTTGCAGGTGGAGCAGCAGCCAGCAGACAGTGGAGTTTTGGCTATGAACAAAACTGTGCCACAACTAGCAGAGGGACATCTGGCTTGGCATGTGGGCAGGCTCATCGTAAATATGTGGAATTAAAATTCGGAATACACAAATCCACAGGATTGTACGTAGCAATCAGCATTATTTACTCTGCTTGCCAAGAAAGAAAGGTGCATTTCATAAACCCACAAGGAAGGGAAATCTTTCGGGCTTGCTTTAAGTCTTTAGCAATTTTCCCAGGCGGCCTGACAGAGAAGAGACCACATGGTCTTCTGGTAGAATCCCTTTACCTTAGCAGAAGCCCGGAAGCACCTCCAAGTGTACTCTGGAGGGTGGCAACTTCTCTAACACGTATTCCTGCTTCCCCTTGAACTTGGGAAGCACCAATTCCCTTATCTCTTCCCTTGCCTGCCCATTTGTTCTGCTCCCTTCCTAAATACATGAGGTTCAATCCCCAGGACCACAAGAAACAACAACAAAATAACACAAATCCTTTCCCAATCACATGGACACATCATCTACAGAAACTCCTGTTTCACTGAACCACGGTCTTCTTCCTTTAGTTAGAATAAGATGCAGAGTCTACCAGTGTCTCCTTTCCTGGATTCTGATGAGAGTGATCCAGGGGGATAATTTTTATTCCAACCGTCCCTGGAAGATCAAAGCGTCATCTCACCCTCTGCATTAACAACTCTTTCCTGGCAACTTCTAATTTTATCCCTGCTTCCATTTGAAGAGAAAAAAATGCTCCTTCTTTCCTTTTAGGTCTTGGGACAAGCTACTTCACATTTCCTAAAAGACCCATGGTCTAAAGTGGGTTTCTCCTTCTTACCATTCATCTCCATATGTACCAGAATCATTCTCTTCTGTACTCTAAACAAAGTTTGAACTCCCCCACTAGCTTTATTAAAGAATATCTGACAATTTAAATATGTATATATTTAGCCAGCTGTGGTAGGGCATACCTTTAATCCCAATATTCTGGGAGGCTGAGACAGGAGGCTCACAAGTTCAAGCCCAGCCTAAGCTACTTAGTGAATTAGCAAGAGCCTTTCTCAAAAAATTAAAAAAAGAGCTGGGGATGTAGCTCCATGCATAGGCCCTGTATTCAATCCCCAGAACTATAAAACAACAACAACAACACTGACAACAACAAATGTGTAGTTGAAGGTGTGCAATGTTTTATATATGTATGGTGAAGTGATTACCACATCAGGTTAGAACCTGAGACAATTCCTGATACAGTATATCTATACTGTTCCCAAAACTACATTCTGCTTCTATCATTTCACCATCAACAATCACAAAAGAAGCTAGTGTATTTTTACTGTTGTCCTTTCTAGCTGATGGCACTGGTAATCTATACCGCTGTAACGAACTACACACTAGGGGAGGATTACAGGGAGCTTCGATAAAATCAGAGCAATCAACACTGATCTTGTTCCCTTTGTGTGGGAGGAAGGGGAGAGGTAACAGGATTGAAGAAAGGGCCTTGTACTTAGCTACATCCCCATCCCTTTTTACTTTTTATTGTGAGGCAGGGTCCCACTAAGTCACTAATTTTCCCAGGCTGAGCTCAAACTCACCATCCTCCTGCCTCAGCTTTCTGAGTACATGGAATGACAGGCGCTCACCCCCATGCCCAGCATTGCTTCCTGTCTTAAAGGTGGCAGATGATTCTTGAAAGGGATAATCTTCCTTATTTGAGTTTTAACTTTAAAAACAGACATTACCCACACATCAGTATTTTTACTCGTTCATTTACAAATGACATTATTTAAAAATTCCATAATTATTTATGGCTTACCAAATATGATTATAAAATTCCACTAGAATTATAAGAGTAGTGCCCTAACTACTTTCCATGCCCTCATTCTATGTGTCAGCCATCCCTGTAAGTGGCTCCTGTACAGTGTTTTTGTTTTCATATACAGATTTCTTATTGGTCATCTGTTTATTGCCCCTGGTGAAGTTCTGCCTCTCAATTAAAACCCAAATTAAGCTTTGTCCTTAAGATTCCTCTGTTCTTCCAAAGTAAGCTTTAAAGATTCTTCTTTATCTCCTCAGTACAAATCAATCATACCCTTCAAGACTGTGTGCACCTTGAAGATTCAAGGCGAATCTTATTTATCCTTTAATATTCAAAACTAGCTCAGAAGAGCTGCAAACTTCACACATGAAAAACTATTAAATACTTGAAAAAGAAGAAAAAGGAAACTAGATCAGTCTATGAATTATTAAAATCATACAGTCCATGAATTAAGAAAAATGAATTAAGATAAGGCTATGATGTTAAAATAAGAACAATTAATAAATATGAATATAGGCATGAAGAAAGAATTTATCACCCGATGCAGACAGGCAGGTCTGCCCACGCCCTACCGAGGTCCTGAGTGGCACGGAAGATGCCGAATCACCCCGCTGCAGACAGGCAGCCACCTGATTCCACAATACAAAGACGCAGAGGACACCAGACCACCAGGCCAAGGTAGTGAGTCCCACTGCTCCCGGCCCAGAGGTAGGGGCTTCTGAGCCGTTGTCCCACTGCTCCTGGTCCAGAGGAAGGGGCTTCCTGGTCACCATCCCTCCCACTGCTCCCAGCCCAGAGGAAAGGGCTTTTGGGCCACCTTCTGTCCTGCTGCTCCTGGCCCAGAGGAAGGGGCTTCTGGGCCACCATCCCTCCC